GGGGCGCGGCGCGGCAGAGGTGAGTCCGTAGCTGAACTGCGCGACCGCTCGAGCGCTCGGCATGGCTCGCCTGGTGCTGGGTAGGTACGGGCCCCCTATTCCGGGTGGGGAAGCAGGCTGGGAGGCTCGGAAGCCCCACGGCGGGCTACGGCACCGGGAGCGGGCGGGCTCGTGCGTTGGCCCGGCCCGGGCCGGAGTAGGGGGTCGCGGGCCCGGCCCACGCGGGAGACATAGTAGACGAGGTCCCGGGGATGATAAGGGAGCTCCGGGGACCGGTGAGGAGAGTTCAGGGGTGGGGGCTGCCCTTGGACGGAGCCCCCCGCATTGGCCTCGGGCAGATGTACAGGGCGCATGGGGAGGTGAGCGCGCCCATGTCCCACCCTGGGGGGAGCTCGTGTGGGGGCGCAGCGGGGAGGACGGAGTCCTGAGGCCGGGCTCAAACCCAGACCCGGGGGGATCTGGAGACAGCCCGGAGCCCGGGTGCGAGTGTCGGGCGGGCCGGGCATGAGCTAAAGCGGGGAACTGCTTTTTAGCCGCTGAGACCAGCGATGGCTGATCCCTGGTGGAGGTGGGGTATTGGGGGGCCACCTAAAATGGGACCTTGTCCTGGCCCTCGAGTGTGTACGGGAGAGTGCACCTTGTCCTAACCACCTGTTTGATGGAATTCCCACTAATAAGAAAAACTGAAACATCAAAACCCAGTCCTGAAATGTCAGGATGGTTTCCTTAGAAAGGAATCGGTACCTTCCAAAAGCAGATCTTACGATGCAAGAGCACTTTAAATATGATTGGACATTTAAAAACTGAGTTGAACCCACACTTTCATGAGTTACATAAAAGTCTGTTTTAGAAACGGCAGTGAGTGAGATTGAGGATCCCGTCTCTTCTCTGGCTCCCCTTGGTCCCAGCCACGGCCCTCTTACCTGCACACTCTGGATCCGGATAGCCGGGTTTGAGTCCCCGGCATCTACTAGCTGTGTGACTGGGAGCTAGTTACCTAAATAACCATTCTGGGCTAGTACTCCATAGGGTTGTTCTCAGGATTAATGACCTTATATATGCCTGAAGAGACTAAACAGGGTATAAACGTGATATAAGTATTTGCTGTATTACTGTAGAGAGAATGGGTGAGGCGGAAAGAATTTAGTTTCTGTTTGGTTACCTGCAAGTGAATTCAGACAGGACTCTGAAAGAGTCTGCGATTCTTTCAGTTAACTTATTATTTTAATAAATGTGGTCAGCCTTTTGGGGAGACGTCTTGGTTTCTGGATGACTACTTTGGGACCATGTGCTCTTGTTAGCTGGTATGGGACAGAGATGTTACTGATGTGGATTTATAACAGCTCTAACTACTGTAGAGGAATAATGGGAGGCCACAGATGGTAAAACCATCTGCTCTCATGGATTCTAGACACTCGGATGTTCCAATTTCCCATTGGTGCTCATTATCAGTGAGTGAAATGGGGATGTGATTTTTAGAAACAGAATATTACTGGTCAGCATTGACCTACTTTATCATCTTAAGTAGGCTGAGGGTTTTCTGTTTTCTTGAGGGTTTTTGTAGGGGGAAGTTACTGACTACTTTTGTGCTGTTGGAATTTGTACATCTTTTAATGCTTTTTTGAGTAGCGTATTTGATTTTCTTCTAACCCTACTAGGTCTTAATGCCTTTTAAGGAATTTAAGTCTCGTATCTTTCTCATGAAGACATTTCCATTGATAGCCATTTGTATGGAAAGGAAGCTCCTGGGAGAACCAGGAACAATGTAAAGACAAGTAACAAAATTCAACACCATTACTAGAAAAAAAAATTAATAGCTCAAGTTCATGGTATACTGAGTGCCATTAGTCAGGACCACGGAAAGATAAAAAAAAAAATCATGGTTCATCATTTGGTGACTCTAGCCTGCCTGAAGTAGCCTGAGGAGGAGAGCACATCCTTTATTGCTGTCCATGATTGGCAGGAAGAGGCAAAGAACCTAATTGTCCTGTCACAGTCTCTAGAATGTCCCTCCTGGGGTTATACTCCTGCAGGTTCCAGTCCTTTGGTTAAAATTTTGGGCATAGCCATATATTCTTTCTAATTATGTGGCCTTAGGCAAATTACCTTTTCTGTGTCTCCATTTCCTGGGCTAAAAATGGGCCTGATGGTACACAACACGTAGACTAACTGAGTTAGTGGTACGTAGTGCCATGCAAGTGTTACTCTAGGTTCAGATGTCAGCTTCTGGAGCGTAGTTGGACAGATACATATATCAAAATGTCAGCCATGCCCCGATCCCCCTTGTAAGATATTCCCTTAAGGAAATAATCATTCATTTGAGGAGGGGAAAAGTATAAGAATTTTTAACATTGACTTGTTAAGAGCGAAGAGTTGGTGGGGGGTGGGAAGGGATAGACGGGATTTCAAAATTGTAGAATAGATAAACAAGATTATACTGTATAGCACAGGGAAATATACACAAGATCTTATGGTAGCTCACAGAGAAAAAAATATGACAATGAATATATATATGTTCATGTATAACTGAAAAATTGTGCTCTACACTGGAATTTGACACAACATTGTAAAATGATTATAAATCAATAAAAAATGTTAAAAAAAAAGCTAAAAGTTGGAAACCATCAAATTATGTCAGTAGTATATTGGCAACATTGATACAGCCATTAAAAATGATTACTTGGCGGGTAATGGGTAATCTATAATTACTTATGTAGAAAATGTAACTTACTTTGGGTGAAAAAGGCTACAGAAGGGAATATATAGTAAGATCACATTTATATAAAGCTTTAGACCTTTGTATGGTATAGAGAGATGTCAGTAAGAATTATCTACCAAAATATTAATGTTCATTCTAGTAGGCTAGATAATTTTGGGGGTGTTTTTTTTTTGCTTTTCTATTTTTGAAAATTTCACAAAGAGCTCAGTGTATTGAACAAGTATCGATTCATAGAGGTTTTATCAAAAAAGATAAATGTCTTTAAAAGTAGTAGATCTCCGTAGAGGATTTTCCAAGACCAATTTTACTTTCAAGCTTAGTCAGAATCAGGATTGTCTCTGCTTAGTTTCTTGATTTACTTGCTTTGTTAATTATGCCAAACTCTTCTTGATCTTTCCTACAACAATGAAAAGATTATTAGGCAACACCATCCATGAGAAATATAATGCCAACTTTATATGTAATTTAAAATTGTCTAGTGGCCACATTAAAAAAGGCAAAAAGAAACAGGTGCAATTAATTTTTTTCCACTGATTACAAATTTTTATTCTCTTTTTTAAACTTTTTTAATTGAGTTATGGTCATTTTACAATGTTGTATCAAATTCCAGTGTAGGGCACAATTTTTCTGTTATACATGAACATACATATATTCATTGTCACATTTTTTTTCACTGTGAGCTACCACAAGATCTTATATATATTTCCTTGCACTATACTGTATAATCTTGTTTATTGCAATTAATTTTAATATATACTTATCCAGTATACCTAAAATACTTCAACAGGAAATAAATATAAAAAACATTAATGAGATAATTTACCTTTTCCTCCTACCAAGTCTTTGGAATTCAGTGTGCTTTTTACATCTACAACACACCTCAGTTTGGGGTAGCCACGTGTGGCTAGTGGCTGCCCTATTAGACAGCAGTTATCAAGGGAGCCTCACTTTGGTTGGCTTGACCTCCATCCACAGTCACCCTTTCCCACCTCTTGAATTGGAAGAGGAAGTCATCCTGTCTCAGGCTAACCCCCCTCGCTGACTCTGGGTTCCCTCCCTTCCTCGTGATCCTGGCGTCTTGTTCCATATTCCCTGGGCTGTAACCCCTCCCACTCCACATATTTCTTCCCTTCACTCTCAGATCACTCCCATCTTTAAAAAGAAGCCTTTCTTCTACCCCACATTGGCTTGCTCTCTCCAGTCTTGTGCACACTGGCTGCTGCTCACTGTCACTACTCCGCCATGCCTGTCAGGAACGGGTGGGGGGCAGTGGCCTCTTTGCCATTATATCCAGTGGACAGTCTTTCCTACTTTACTTCCCAGTAGCCTTTGTTACTGTTGCTCATTCCATCTTTCCCTTGGTTTATATGACACCACTCTCCTGATAATTCTCCACCCACTCTCCATGTTGTAGTCAGAGTACTCTTTCTAGAAAGCAAATCTGATCAACCTCCTGCATGGCTTCACATCACCGTTAGTGGAGTCCATAGTTACCTTCCTACAATTCTAGTCCTATCTGTAATTCAGATGCAGTATTCTTGAACAGTGTCATTGTTACTCATGCCCATGGCATGCTAAGTCTTTTTATCGTGAGCACTAAAAAGACAATGTAGTTTAATGGGTAGAGCTTGGAATAGAAGTCAGAGAGCTGCTCTGTCAGTTTTATGTATGACTGTAGATGGGCCACTTGATCTCTTTCTGCCCTTGTTTCATTATTTACTAAGAAGGATGATTCCTGCTCTGTGGCTAGTAATGCTCTGAAAAATCAAGTGATTTTAAAGTGATTTGAAAATCGAATGTGCCCTGTAAACATGAAGTGGAGAATTTAGCAATAGAACTAGTAACTTCCAGAAGAAATTTACCATTGGATTATTCAAAAAATTTCCACTTGAAATCTTCCACAGTCTGTGTACAAAGTAAGCATGTGAAATTGGGTGGCATATACTACCTTAGATGACAGGTCAGTCTCACTTGTAACTCATCGCATCAGGAGATGAAAAGAAGGAAGTTATATTACCATCTCCATAGATGCTGAAAAGAAAGTAATAGAAATTTCTTTAATATCATAAAGTTTATCTGTGGGAGTAATCTTTCAGGGGCTCCAACAGCAGTGGGGGCAGGGGCAGGGGGATTAAGAGAGAGCTGATCCAGGCCGTCCTCCAGTGTAAAGGGCCTTGGTCAGTTGAAGAAGACTCTGTGGTTGCCTAGCTTCCCCGTAGCGTGAACCTGCCATTGATGGTGTGCTTTTGTTGTTATTCCAGGTCTGATGAGCTGTACCCTCTTTATAGCAGTTAATGGTCTATATTCGTCTAGTGATGATGTAATTGAATTAACTCCATCAAATTTCAACCGAGAAGTTATTCAAAGTGATAGTTTGTGGCTTGTGGAATTCTTTGCTCCATGGTAAGTATTATAAAATAGTTGTTGATTATTTATGGTACTTTATAAAATCAGAAAAAATACTGTATAAAAATGTGATTTTATTTAGCCATCTGGTTTACCTAGTTTGCTGGTTGTTTATAAGAGAGAAAAGGGAAAAAGTGTTGATTGAGTCTGTTAAAGGGTGTAGAGACTGAGCCAATTTTTAAAAAATGGTTGAAGTAGCTAATAGTTGCGAGAAAGAAGGAGGGGAAAAAACCCTTATAATTTTAGGAAGATATATTTTTATGATGAGGTAAGTGAGATGGAGGTGGAAAGGAAGCTGATTTTTTGCAGAGAGGATTGGGCAAAGAAAGGGAAGAACCAATGATTTACTCCATTCTGCTTCTTGAAGAGGGTTGCTTCTAGAAATATGTAGTTGGAAAACTACATATTTTTATTTTAAAATTCTTTGATTTTAAAATTCTTCCCTTGCCTTACATCTATTTCTGGGGAAAAAACCTTATAGAGTGAAGATGTAATTATCATTGAAATTAATGTTGCACAGTTACATACAGTTGGCCCTTGAATAACATAGGTTTGAACTGCATGAGTTCACTTATTCGTGGGGGTTTTTTCCCAATAAATTTATATGTGTTAACACGATCCATGGTTGGTTGAATCTGTGGATGCAGAGGGCTGACTATAAAATTACAAGCAGATTTTCGACTGCAGAAGGTTAGCACCCCTAATCCCCACAATCAGGGGTCATCTGTGCAGTCAGAAAACGGCATTACACTAATTGTTTATGTAGTTAAAACGTTTAATGAAAACAAAAACCTGACAAATAAGCGTGTAGAAACACACCCATGGAATCAGTGCAAAATGAGCACCAGACTCACTGCTACAAACTAGCAGGCCACCAGTGCCTGAGAGGAGCACCCGCCAACTGTATCTGCAGGTGAGCTGCATGGTCCCCTGAGATGGGAACTGTACCTTGTAAGCTCAAGTAGGGAGTAGCTCAAGTAAATGTCCCTGAGTGGGTACATTTTACGGTATGCCTGATGAAAGGCTTTCCTTTATTGCTTTAATTTTTTCTTTGAAAAAGAAAACTCAGTTTTGGAAAGTCCATATCAGATCTTTTGGGCTATTTCATTTAATGTTCAGTGTAGCAAGTTAAGGTAAAATCTACTTTAAAAGTTTATGTTGCTATTTTATGACTACTGTGTATCTTAATTACCTTTATTATTTTTTTAGAGAAAAACTCTTATTTGTTTTTTGTTTGTTAAATCCAAATGAGAATTCTGTGTGGGCTCATTCATTTGTATTAGTAAACGAATAAATGATAATTGTACAAACTTATATTGTTGAATGCCTTTGTATGCAACTTTTGCAAGTTTGATCTTTTTTGTCAGTTATATGGCATGAGTGGTTTACCTTGTTTTGGTATATATGCAATATATGGGACTATACCTCATTCCAAAACTAAACCAGACAGCATAGTTGGGAAAGCAGGATCTGGGCCCGGTAATTAACTATTATTGTTATGCTAGCAAAGTTTTACTTCCTAGCGTCCTGGGTGAGAGAGTGTCTAATTGGAGCAGGTGCTTTTAACCTCTTTTTGTGCTTGGACTTTGGCAGCTTGGTGAAGGCTTAGAATTCCTCCTTAGAATCCAAGTTTTACATGTATAAGAGAAAGGATTTAGATTACAAAGGAAACCTAAAATATTGGAATAACATTATTAAAATATCAAAATAAAGCTTGATATGTTTGTTTAGCACTCATTTACTGGGACAGTAAATCAAGATCCAACAGCAGATCTAACAGCTAGCTCTCATAATTCTGAAACAGTGATGAGCATAAAAGATGTGTAAAGATATCTGCAACAGCTGCAGTGGTGATGAGAACATAGCTGTGACTTGTATTTGTGACAGCCACGAGTGCTCACCAACTATGGTATGTTGTTAATGTTTATAATTGAAGGAATTCCTTAATTTTGGTCACTGGGCAAGTTTTATTAGTGCCGGACTCCCTGCAAGCCTCACCCCCAGGGCATGTCACTCAGTAGACAGCTGGTGAATGTTTTTTGAATTGGGAATCAAAAGACTTTAACTGTTGCCTTGTTTTGTGTTTTTATCCCCTAAAAGGTGTGGCCACTGCCAGAGGTTAACACCGGAGTGGAAGAAAGTAGCAACTGCATTAAAAGTGAGTTTCTAAGATGTCCACATTGACCTGTGTACGTTGAAATAAGTTTAAGCAAATGAGCTTAAAGTACAGTAGGACATTAATTGAAGCCCACTACTCTCGTTCTGGAGCCAAAATTATGTAGGGGGCAAAGGGATAATTACATCTGATTTTTATCTTATCTATTTTTGTTAATTCCCTTCCCAGTTAAATGGCATAATTATTCTTAGTCATGCTAATTCTGGGAGCTGCACAGTTCCTCATGGGCTGAGCTGCACGTTACCCAGCATCCTATTCCAGAATGATTTCCCAAGCTAAAGCCCTCATCAATTCTGCTGGTAAATGGAACCCTGCCCTTCATTATGTTGTCTCTGAGTCTTCATCACCGTATTATGGGTTCTTGTGGAATCTGCTCCAGTTGAAGGAAAAATAGGTATTTCTTTTATATTTCCACAGGATGTTGTAAAAGTTGGTGCAGTTGATGCAGATAAACATCAGTCCCTGGGAGGTCAATACGGTGTCCAGGGATTTCCTACCATTAAGATTTTTGGATCTAACAAAAACAGACCAGAAGATTATCAGGGTAAGGGCTTTTCCTAATTCCCTTGGTTGGAATTTTAATGTGAGCAGGTAGGTACGAAATAGGAGAGAACCTAGGGTTGTGTAACCTACCTGCCAGGTCCTCACTCTCCTGGTGCCTGAATTTCCTTGTCTGTCAAATGGTAGAGTGAGTCCTACTTCTGAGTTGTTTTGTAGGTTAAACATGTGTCAAGCAAGTAGGAGTTTTTTTTTTTACTGTTTATACTAGTTTAGGGCGCATGGCCTTAGCAGTGATAGAGTGATAACGTTTTGTGCTGCCCTCTTTCTCATTACAGTTTTTAAAAAGCACTAGTTACTTAATGTTTTATAGTTACTAAATATTGAATAAGTTTCTATAATTACTTAATATTTTAAAAGATCTACAAATGTTTTCTTGCCCTAGTTGCTCCTCCTGTCACTGTAGGAGGGTCTGGCATATCAATGTGGAAAAAGAGCCTTGTAATTTGAAAGTCAATTTAAACAGTTGATATTACTATGGAGTATTTTGCCTATGAATCTCTCTCTATATAGTATTTGAATATTAAAGCTATTATTTAGTCTCCTGAACTATTGGTAATAAAGTGCCGCAATTTCTCCATTGTGTAGATAAGTAAATTGTGAGTTACTGGGGCAACTGGAGAGAGGGTTCTGGCTTCAGACTCCCAAGACCAAATGTTGTTTTAGTCACCTTGTTCTTTTATAGAGTCACCTGTTACTTAAGATGTCACAAACAGATCATCATATTTAATATAGTCAGAATTGCTAAGTTGAGGCATATCCAGAGTCCTCATAAAAGTTTTGGGTGTAATGCATTTAAAGATTTCATTGCAAGGGGTGCACAAGTGACTGAACTTAGAGTCTGCCATCTTTGGGTTTGCTTTATGTGAGAAGGACAAGCTTGCAGGGTTGGAGGGGAGGAGACTCAGCATCACAGTGAAAACAAAGTGTATTATCTGTACTTGGTGTCTTGCTCTGTGTCCAGCTGGGAGAGGGAACATTCTCAGAAAAGGGAGAGCAAAGGGACTGGAGAATCTGTAGAGTGAGCTCTGAAGGCAGCCCGGCCTCGGTTTAACTGCTGGCTAAATGGTACCTAGCCTCTGTGGACCTGCTTCTAGCTGTAAAATGGGGATGTGAAAACCTGTGTTCAGCTGCTAGAAGTTGCATTAAATGGTATATGTAAAGCATGTAACTTGGTAAATACTGGTGTAGTTGGTACATCACCAAGCTGGGGGTCAGAATACTTGAAGATGAGACCTTAGATACATCATTGCTTCTAGACCGCCCAGCCCTTAAGTTTCATAAAATGATCAGTTTAATTTTTCTGAGTAAACACCAACTTTTCTGCTTTGGAATATGATTTGTTCATTTTGCTAGCTTGTAAAAATTGAATGTTTCGAGCAGGGGTTGACATTTGTCCTGCTGCTTGCTTTTGTAAATAAAATTTTTCGGAACACAGTCACACTTGTTCATTTAGTTTGTCTGTGGCTGCTTTCACACTAGAACAGCAGAACTGAGTGGCTGCAATAAACAGTATGGCCTGCAAAGCTGGAAATACCGTCTGGTCCTTGGCATGAAGAGTCTGCTCACTCTCGGTCTAGAATGAGAAAACCCTCTCTGTCTTTTTCCCTATGTTTCTTAATGTGGTATATTTTCAGGTAGAGGTTGGTGGAAGGGGCACTGGTTCTGAAAATGGAGGTGTCTGCTGTAGACAAGGAGCAGAAGACTGTTCTCATGTTGAGGTCTTGCCTTCCTGTCTTAGGAAGTAACGCACTTGGTCGTCTGGACCAGGGATGTAGTACAGGACTGTCTGTCCGGACATACTCTGAGCACTGCTGTATCGTACGTTCTTTCTAATGTCAGGTCTGATGAGAAAACTATTTTTTTAAAAGAGAAGAAACTTTCTAAAGAGATTTTGTTAGTTTTACCTTTAAATTCTGAAGATAGTCTCCAGAATATTATCCATATTTCTCTTAGTTAATAGTCCCTTGACTTTATTGAGCACATAGTTTTTGGTAAACTTCCAAAGGCTAGTGTCGTTGAGTTTTAATTTAGGTTTTGTTATTTCTTATATTAGGGTAAGTTCACTGTAAAACCTAAAAGCCCAAAGTAACAGAAGAGCAAGGTAGAAAAAAAAGAGGCCTGGATCACTTTCTAGTTACTTAACAAGACACCTTGTATCCTGCTTTTTCCACAAGTTCTCTGTCCTTTATTTCATAGAAGTCGTTTTTCCATGTTTCTCATTTGGTACTTTGTGTTTAGAAATTTCCCCTGCTTTCTTAACTAGATAATCTTTTTCATCTGTGTACATGTTACACATTCAGTAAACATTTGTGAGCTGTTATCAATAGTAGATGGTCTTTATGGTGAACAAAACACTCTTGTTCACACCAATAACCTAAAATTGCAGAAGAGGAATTGGTTTTCTAAGTATAAAGTGCAGTGTGCAATGCATTCTGGAGAGAAATTGGCTCAGTCTTAAAGACAGTGTGATAGTAGGATCTGTCTAAACATCAGATGATACTGACACATGTACAGGTTGGAGTCTTCAGAGAGCGTTATACGTAGGCACCCGGCCCGCCCGGCCCCAGTCACCTGTTCGCCCTTCGTCTTCCGTAGGTGGCAGAACGAGTGAAGCCATCGTGGATGCCGCGCTCAGTGCTCTGCGCCAGCTCGTGAAGGATCGCCTCGGGGGCAGGGGAGGTGGCTATAGTTCTGGAAAACAAGTAAGACTGTATATAATGTCAGGTTTTCATGTGTGTCATGATCTTGAAGACTGTGTAAACTCCATTAGAAGATCATTTTTAAAAAAATTTAAATTGATAGACTTTCGGTTGAAAAATAATAGGTTGAGTCAGGTGACTCCAGAGGGAGTCAGCCACCCAGCCTGTTCATCTGACCTCTTCAGCATCACTGTCACCATGGCAAGTGAGTCCTTGGGCGCCCGGCCACAGCTTCAGGCCAGGCACCAGGCCCGAGGTAGGCTTCCCTGGCCCGGGGCCGGGGTAGAAGAGTTTGGACTGCAGAGGGAGAAAGAGCTCCAGCCAGGGGAGCTGGCCTCTGGCTTCCATGCCATTTGTGGTTCCCGAGTAGCGAGAGACCAGCCCTCCCCCAAATCAGCTTCAAACACAGATGAAATCTGGATGACCTCTGTATCTGTGGTGGTCATACTGAAATCCCTGGGAGCGTTCCCACAGATGGAAAGGGAAGAAGGTTCCTGCTCTGTAGATTCCCTTGTATGAAATGTGACGTTTAACCGTGATGTGCTTCTGTTCTTGTGAAAAGGCACTGAATTCTTCCTGATACAAGTAGTCACACCTCGTATTGTACTTCCAGATAATTGCATTTTTTACAAATTGAAGGTTTGTGGCAACCATGTGTTGAGTGAGCCTGTCAGTGCCATTTTTCCAACAGCATTTGCTCAAATTTTCACAGTATTTCAAAGGTTTTCATTATATTTATGGTGATCAGTGATCTTTGTATGTGACTATTACAAAAAGGTTATGACTCACTAAAGGCTCAGATGATGGTTACTAGCATTTTTCAGCACTAAAATATTTTTTACTTAAGATATGTGTGTTGTCTTTTAGACCTAATGGTATTGCACACTTGATACTCTATAGTGTACAGCTGACTTTTATGTGCACCAGGAGCCCAGAGCCTTTGTGTGACTCCCTTTATTGCAATACTCGCTTTATTGAGGTCATCCTCAAACCCGCGGTATCTCCACAGCATGCCTGTGTGTGTGAAGATGGCTCTTCGCTCTTAGGAGACCAGTAAGACTAGCTTCTTTGTACAGACTTAGAGCTTCTCCGAGATTTCATGCATTTGGCTTCTATTTCAGACTTACACATTTAGTGAGCACCGTTGTCTGCACTGCGCCCACGGCTTTGGGCCCCGGCAGCAGAAAGCGTTATCGCAGTGCTGACGGCTTCGTAGTTTTAGTGCTGAAGAAAGTTCTTTGACAAGATAAAAGAATTGTGTTGCTTTTAGCTTTCTTGAATGGTAGGCACTTTATGAAAAGGTAGTCACCGGTTGGTTATGTTTAATATCTTGGGATGGACCGGCACTAAGCTCGAGTCTGAATTAGCATAGTGTTACGAAGGTGCTTCTTTGAGCCATGTTGAAGTTTCTCTTAGTGAAAACAGTAGGTAGTTGGGTTCTGATACATGTTACGTGTTACACCGAGTGTACTGGTAATTGTTTGAAAGTAAATACTGTTTGTCGGGTACAGATAATAATATTAAGGGATGTGCCAAATATGAGTAAAGTGGTTTCACTTGAAAGAAAAACTCAATTTTGTTAAGATGTAGAAATGATGAATGTTACATGTGTATTTAGAATAGGAATAGTGTTCTTTCTGGCCAGGTTGTAGTTTAATTTTTAATGTCACAAATGGCAGGGCAGAAGTGAAAGTTCAAGTAAGAAGGACGTAATCGAGCTGACGGATGACAGCTTTGATAAGAATGTTCTTGACAGTGAAGATGTTTGGATGGTTGAGTTTTATGCTCCTTGGTGCGGACACTGCAAAAAGTAAGTGTTTTTACCAAGTACTTTCTGAAGTCATGGTGCTCTGAGTACTTTCACCTGGCTCGCTTTGACAGCGCTGGACCAGGTCATAGATCATCCCCAGGACCTCCGCCGCAAAGGCTCCAGCTCTGAATGAGTGTTGAACATTAATGCCAATTGTTTCCTCCACCACATTTTGAAAGATTAACAGGGAGCTGGCACCCAGATTGAGGGGAGTGGGGGGATCTGGTGAAGGACCAGGAAGTGAATGTGACGTGGGCATTGTGTTTTTCATAAAGTTACACACACAGTGTTTCCCAAGTGTGATTTAACTGGGTTGGGCAGAGATGCACACATCAGGCAAAGTATTTGTGCTTTAAAATACACATTTTTTTTTCCTGTGTCTGCAAGTAAAGTTTTATTAGAACACAGCCAAGCCAAAATATTTATTATCAGTCCTTTATAGAAAACATTTGCAGACCCCTGTTCTATATTATTCATGGATATTTTTTTGTTTTTGTTTTGTTTTTTTAAAATTGAGTTATAGTCAGTTTACAATGTTGTGTCAGTTTCTGGTGTACAGCACAATTCTGCAGTCATACATGAATATACACATACTCATTTTCTTATTCTTTTTCACTGTGAGCTACTACAAGATACTGAATATATCTTCCCTGTGCTATATAGTATAAACTTGTTTATCTATTTTCTATGTACCAGTCAGTATCTGCAAATTTCAAACTCCCAGTTTATCCCTTCCCACTCCCTTCCCTAAAATACGCTTTTAAAAAGCAGATATTTTTCTATAGTTTAGAGCCAGAATGGGCTGCGGCAGCTACAGAGGTAAAAGAGCAAACCAAAGGCAAAGTGAAACTCGCAGCCGTGGACGCCACTGTAAACCAGGTTCTAGCCAGCCGGTACGGGGTGAGTGTACTGATACGGCTAACTTCTTTGTGAAATACACTGTATTTTCAACTGTTACTTTATCCCATACTCCAGCCTCCCTGGGAGGTGGAGGGGGGATGTTTAGCCATTTTGTAATGAAGCAATTAAGTTTATTTTATTGTCGTAACTTACAAGTCTGAAACTCAGGGCATTTGGGGGTTTTTTGGTTTTGTTCTGTTTTCAGTAGCTCACTACTTACTGTGTTTAGTGAGAGCCCAAGCTTTTGCAAGTTATTTATACAGCTTTGGAAGTGGGTCCATGTGTTCTAGAGCACATATAGTGTATTGAGTACATAGCCAGGGTTTGAATAAGATTTGGCTAAGCCTGGCAGTGAGACTGGTCAACCCCCTGATTAACAGACGTCTGTGTGTCGTCCCTCGGACACTGATGCAGGCTGGGGGATGTTTTTGTTACGTGAAATTACTGATAAGGTAGTTTCAGAAATCGTAAAGATTGTCTTATTTCTTATTTAATGTTAATTTGATTCATACTCTGATCTTTTCTTTTTTAATAGATTAGAGGATTTCCTACAATCAAGATATTTCAGAAAGGCGAGTCTCCTGTGGATTATGATGGGGGGCGGACGAGATCCGACATCGTCTCCCGGGCCCTTGATCTGTTCTCTGATAACGCGCCCCCTCCGGAGCTGCTTGAGGTAAACCTTCGGTCACTGGTAGTGAGGGAAGCTTTTCCGTCTGGAAAGCGAGGATGGTAAAGCCGTTGTGATACTTTTTGTCTTTTCAAATTAGCTCTTTCTCTTCTCTTTTAAAATGCTCTCTCTAGAGTTTTCTGTACTTTCAGGTGGGGATAACTTACCTGTTAAATTGCTGCTTTTCATAACTTTTGGTACTAAAATAATTGCATTGTGAGCAAAAGTGTAGATTCTAAGAATGGGTCCGTCTTCTATTTATCGTTCTCAAAATATAGCTAACATGTTCTGAGCACCTAACACATAACGAGCACTGTTCTGGTGCTTTTGCGTGGAGTTTCCTCTTCTTGTTCTCACGTGAACACTTCGAGGTGGATACTGTTTTTAATCTCCATTTTACACGTAGGGAAACAGGCACAGAGAGCCTCAAATTCATGGAAATATGTAATATGTATAAATGTGTCTTTCTTATCTGTGTAAACGACTAAGTGTCAGAGCCAGGCTTTGGCCAGGCATTCTTATTCCAGACACCGTCTGTGAATGCAAATGCCTCACCACCACCACGGGTGGCTGGCTGAGGAGTGAAACAGAAGTCCTTACAGAACATTCCTGCTGGTGTTTCTGTCGCGTGCACCAGGAAGTATGATTTGGGAGAAGCCTCATCCAGCTCTTGAGTTACTTTGCTCTTTAATGAAAGTGATGTGCTCAATCTTTGTTCTCAAGCTAATAACCCCTGGGCTTTGTGTCACGTGCCTTCCAACCTCCCTTGTCTTTGGGTCCCACAGATCATCAATGAGGACGTGGCCAAGAAGACATGTGAGGAGCATCAGCTCTGTGTCGTAGCCGTCCTGCCCCACATCCTCGATACCGGTACGACGGGCGGGCTCATGTCCCATCAGTCAGTGGCTCTGCTCCCTGATCTGAGACACTTAGTAACTGGATTAATTGCACCAACTCCTTTATTTTTACCTTTAAAATTTTTTGTCTGTTTAAATCAGGAGCTGCAGGCAGAAATTCTTACTTGGAAGTTCTTCTGAAGTTGGCAGACAAGTACAAAAAGAAAATGTGGGGGTAAGTTATTGAATGTACTGTCTCAGTCTCATTTGGAGAGGAGAGTATAGTGCTGCTTGGAGGTGTCTGGTTTCCTCTGTGTTTTCAGTAGGCTGGGCTCCTGTGCTCACTTTGGCGTGTTTTAAGATGTAAAGATAATTATCACCTAAGAGGAGACGAAGTAATGCATATCTATTCTTTATAACACACTCGTACAGCAGCATACTTTCTCTCAGGGGAATCACGTTTGAATGGTGGTTGGGGGGTCCCAGGCTAGTAAGCAAAAACTTAATTAGTAACATAGCTGAATTCTAGCACGGCCTTGAAGGCTAGAAAAAGCAGAAGCAGAGGCATGTTTCTTTACACTCTTCTGAGGGAGGCTGGACACAGGCAGATGTTTAAAACAAAGTGTGTCTCTTACTTCCTTTCCTTTCTCCTTTGCTCCACATCCTCAGCACCCACTGCTGTCCCAGGTGCCTCGTGCCCCTGCTGTCCCTCTCAGAGTGACCTTGAGCCGCCTCCTCTGGTTCAGCAAATGTTTATTGTATGCCTGCAGAAGGCTGCGTTGCCAGGTTCTTTATTCTTCACTGTTGTACAAGCAGAGGGAAGAAATTAGTGGAGCATGTTTAGGTATTAAATATCAACATATCCATAGCTTTTAAAAAGAAGTTGTTGTACTTCTAAAGAGCATGCATAATAACCCAAATGGTATTGGCAGGGTTTCAGGTAACAAAGACAGAAAATTCATCAGGTTTATTGGACAGTCTTTTGGTGACTGGGAAGGAAAACTGTCTTATAGGTAGACTGGTCCACTTTGGAGACTTCCTGAGTTAGGGTTTGGGGAACATAAGAGAGGAGCTGGAGTTAGTTACGAGCACATCTGGAACACATTCTTTTAAAAACTTATTCTTAGTTTTTGATTTATTTCTACACCCATTTCATTCCCTAAAATCTTTGACCTGTAGTCTTTAGTTCTTTAAGATCTGCTAGTTAGATTCTAGCTTATTCAAAAGGGATCTTTGCCCTAAAAAGCAGCCTGCTTCCCTAGGTGGCTGTGGACAGAAGCCGGAGCCCAGTCGGAGCTGGAGAGTGCGCTGGGGATCGGAGGGTTCGGCTACCCCGCCATGGCCGCTGTTAACGCGCGCAAGATGAAGTTTGCTCTTCTCAAAGGCTCTTTCAGTGAGCAAGGCATTAATGAGTTTCTCAGGTAATTTCTTGCTTTCTTGAGTTGTTTGGTTTGGTTTGGTTGGTTCCGTTGTGGTAATTGGTTCTAAACTAGGTTTCTGTAGCCTAGGCCATAAATGGAGTAAAATTGTATTTGACATTTCAGAGAATGTTTATAAATTAGCACTTTGGAGTCATGTCATCTTCCTGTGCCACGGAGTGTCCTGCTTAGTGAGTGATGCGAATGCTTTCCTCCTCGGGCTCCTTGCCATTTGGTGCCCTTGGCATTGGGCTTGTCCTCGTTCCCACACAGGTCCCTTGTGGGCTGGGAGCGGCCCTGTCTCACCCCTTCCCTCCCTCGTGTGCTTTATACCCCTTTCTTCAGGGGATATGGTTTCCACTTCTGGGCATAAGCTTTAGAATCTAGTTGTTTGGAAGAGTGTACTTACTTGTGACTCCAACAACGTGCAAACAATATGATAGTTTCTCAGACTCAAAACCCGATTTATAGAGCTCTCTAAACTGCTCTGCTGCTCAGCTCTTCCTAAAACTGACTTAATCATCTTTTAGGCAAATCGAAGCCATTAACCCAGTACTTTTCCTTAGATTTGTGGTAATTTGATGAATGCCTCTTTCACGTTAACCGAGTTCCACAGAGGTGAATCTTCTACACAAAACTTCATTTCTAGTCCCCACTGTAGAGCCTGGCTGATAATAAACTCTTGGTAAATATTTTATGAATGAGTGAATGACTTCATGTCTCTGTAACCATTTCATTTCAGTTAGGAAAAGCATCCCTGCCCTCAGGGACGTTGGCAGGAAGACGATGTGCTTCATCCTGTTTGAACAGCCGATTCCAGGGTAGAACCTGAGAGGAGTGTATGAGAGTAGTGAGTACCAGTGAGATTAGACTCAGAGTACAGAGGAGCTGACTGCTTCCAGAACAATAACACGTTGTGAACCTGAGATCATCCAGGTCACTGGTTCTCAAACGTTGTGTCTTGAAGTTAACAGAAAATTCCAGATTACCAGTGGAGAAAAGATACAGTAATGAATAGGAAGGAAACAAAACTTGTGGCAGTATGCTTGTTTCCAACTACATACGAATCTTGGTTTCTAAGAAGACAGAACTTATGCAGAGCACATCACCAGTGAGGAGACGGCTTCCAGCCACCTGGGGTTGGGCCTGGCTGGGGGCTCAACTGCCTGGTGGTGGGAGGCACCGGCGCGCATACTTGAAAAGCCACACACATGCCGCGTTCTGCGTGGCTGTTAGAAGACCAAAGACAAAACCCATTGGGGCAGATGTGCAGGTTGTGAGACAACTCGAAGAAGTCAGCAGTAACTGAAGCTAAACAATTTATAAAAGTCGGGGCAGCAGTTAAATACTGTGGTCACCCCAAGATGACATTAGTGATTTCTGCATCTTTCCTGAAACAAATCATGTTATGTTCCTCTTGGAGCATTAGCCAGAGAGTGCAAGTGTGCAGCTGTTCGTTATACCTCGAGAAGTGAAGAAAGGACTTGAGTTGTCTGTGCATTTGTGGCTGTCCAGTTGTTTGAAAGCAGTAGCCTGGTCCTTTGGGCTTCAGAAAATTAGAAAAGAGGAAGAGAAATTGGAAGAGGGGTCCGTTAGCATTTAACCGAAAAAGAAAATGGTGTCATACGGCAGAAGCATAATTGAGCTATAAAAAAGTTTTTTTTTTTAAACCGATGATTGAACTCTGCCCTCAGGATTTTGTTCCTTTGTAAAAGTTTGACATCTTTGCTCTAGTCTTTGTTTGCTTTTGCTACTGACATTAAGTGGGAAACTACTTTTCTTTTCTTTTTTTGAGCACCAGTCTCATCCAAATGTCCAGTAGCAGATGTATCTTGGCCTTTTCTTGGTGAAGAAGCTGTTGCCCAGAGATGATAAACAGCCCAACTAAGGATGCAAAACTAGTAAAAAGTAGAACCAGTGACTTTTTAAGAGACATGGGTTTATACTTCCCACGTAACCAGAGCCCACATTGGCCAGTGCCTTTTCCTAGTGAGTTGAGCCACTTTTTCTAGCTCAGGTAGCCAACTGCATGAGACACAGGTCCAACTTATGCTCAACACTCTGTTCTGCCTATACAGCAGTTCAGGGAATGGCGGTAAAGTGCTTTTTACATCTTTATAATCCTGTTTTCTGATTGTAACTGATAAGTGTCCCTTGAGGTTTCTCAGCGTTTCCCCTCTTGATGTTTGGGGCCAAACAGTTCTTTGTCCTGTGCATTATGGGATGTTTAATAGTTTCCCTAGCCTCAACCCCGAGATGCCAGTAGTGCATGCGTATACATGCACATGCCCAGAGTTGTGACAATCTAAAATGTCTCCAGACATTGCCAAATGTCCCCTGGGGCACCTATATGTGTTTGACAGTTACTTTGCATGGTGGGAAAACTAGGTAATTTTATCACTGCTTTTGGCTACTTTGCATATTTTACAACGTGTATCAGTGCTTCTTAAGTTGAGGGCAGTCTGTGAAGCTTGATGTCCTGTTTGGGTTTTTTTCTTCCACTCATATTCTCAGTGCCCTGCACCAGAGGGTACTTGGAGGCTCCTCTTATGAAAGAAGCCTTATTCACCGTCCAGTGATGGCCGCTGTATCTCCCAGCGCAGTGTCTGCAGTACCCACCAGATTCAAAACCTAACACGCTGTTTCACAGTGTAACTCTTCTGTGTTAAGGCTTGCCGTGTGGGAGAGTCTGCCACCACCTGGTGCCTGCGGGCGGGTTCTGAGTGCTTCGGCTTACTGTCAGAAGTCTGAGGGAAAGGATTTTTTTTTAAGACACCATCTTTCAAAAAGCCTTCCTGGGATCTTAAGTTAGTGTGGAAGTTTGTTAACCAAGTGTTAGTGTTGGTCTTACCCATGTTCTCCATTAACTTTGACAGTTTTTACATAATTGATTTGTATTTTAGCAAAATGTGGTTGCTAGTTTTTTAATTATTGGTAGTAACCGGCTCTATCTGCTGCCAAGGCCTTCATCAGGAACTTCGTTATATTGTTATACGGTTATATTGTTGTCCCTGATTGAAAAGATTATACTATTCACTAAGTTTTTTTCAGGAGCAGGAGGTAAGAAATGCCTCTATGCAAACATAATAGACAAATTGTTATTTTTAAAAGGTTGTTTCTTCATCTGCATCAATGGTGCATTGTTAACACATGCTCTGCTCACTTCCCCTAAGGGAGCTGTCTTTCGGGCGTGGGTCCACAGCACCTGTGGGAGGCGGGGCTTTCCCTGCCATCAGCACCAGGGAGCCCTGGGACGGCAAGGACGGCGAGGTGAGTCTGGGACCGGAGGCTCGCTGGGGCTTGCTGGGGCTCTGGTCCAGCCTCTTCCACTTTCCCAGCCCCTGTGCACCTTTACTACTTGTGAACCAAGACCTTTCCA